TACACACACACCTACCTAACTGAACAATTTTTTTCCTAATTTAATGTTTTACAAAAATTCTCACTATAGAATATTTTATTGATTTAAACAACAATACGATTTCTAAGGTTTTCATCTTACATTTTGTGCCTGTAAGGGAACCACCTTTTATGTTATCCAAGTAAAATACACAAACTTGTATTTTGTAAAAAGCATACCCTACCTTTGTTGAACTTGAACGTAGTTTTCATATGCTTGCTCAAACTTTTCATTAACTCGCTGCACATCTGATGTTAATGTTTGTTTATAAAACTCCTAAAAAAAAAGAAACGGACTTCATGAACATACTGTAACAATAAATAATATTGTAGCTGAGTAAAATCATATCATAAATTGAAAAATCTAACATATATATATATTTTAATCTGGTACTTTTCTCCAACAAGCTACTATCACCTTTATTATTAATCTTAAGTATAAAAACAAAATTTCACTGTGAGGTACTCCTGGGATCTTTAGTCTTGCTTAATGTTCACAATCATACAATATTTTTTATCTAAACTCACGTGAAAAGAACTGGCCCAGCGTCAGCTTCAACAACCTTGTTTGACCCATGATGTTTTCTGGTAGTTCAAAGCTAAAAATTCCTTTACATAGCCTACAAGTTTTCTTCGAGCAAGTACAAACAAAATATTGAATGTCATAATAATTCAATTTTTACTGATATGTTTAACTCCTTTTCACTTTTGAGCACCAAATCATGATACCAGGTAAAATGCATTTAATAATTTCATTTATAATATTACAAACTGTAAGACCCATGTTCGCCAATACCACCATTTTCTTTTGTTACAGCTATAGAGATTTTATTGTTCTTCTGTTTTTAGTTTTAACAGTAAACATGCATGAGTAACTGTTAACTATGCTTGACTTGTATACAATCAGGAAATCTATGGCTATGAAAACATAGACATACACAGCTGTGCCATAGTCATTTCTTAAGTCATTCTCACAAAAATAAGTTCTTAGTAATCACAAATATTTGAACTCTCGTATATTCTATTTAGTAAAACTCTCTTCTCAGAGTCTTTATACAGCTCGTAAAATAAATAATAATAATAAATCATTAAAATTTGTCTCCTACCTCATTTTTAAATTCAGGATGGACACCAAATGTTATGGTACAGTAAAGATGATCAACCTGAAACCTCCGGAGTAGATAAGCAAGGTCAATTGACCATGTACTAAATGTAAATGAAAAATTGGACAATATATTAAGTATGTACACCTACTGCAGATACGACATAACTTTATTATATACAAACATAGCTTCATTAAATACCTACATAGCTTCATCATATACCTACACAACTTCATCATATACCAACATAACTTTATTATATACCAACATAGCTTCATCATATACCTACATAGCTTCATCATATACCTACACAACTTCATCATATACCAACATAACTTCATCATATACTAACATAACTTCATCATATACCTACATAGCTTCATTAAATACCAACATAACTTCATCATATACTAACATAACTTCATCATATACCTACAGAGCTTCATCATATACCAACATAGCTTCATCATATACCAACATAACTTCATCATATACCAACATAGCTTCATCATATACCAACATAACTTCATCATATACCAACATAGCTTCATCATATACCAACATAACTTCATCATATACATGTGCAATCAACACATAAATAACAAACAAGATAAATCTGCAGTATTTCAGAGATAAATTGCTAATAATAGCTTTCATCTTAAGAATTGTTACTTGAATAAGTCTGGGAGTATTAGTACTCATTATACTTATCTAATATTCTGTAAGTAGTTCTTACACAACAAATCACCAGTAACTGTCATGCTTTTGAGAAGTTTCATATTCAGTAACTGACTTGAAATCTGATGCCAAAGCTCGTGTTACTAAGACATTCTATATCTGGTATATTGTACAACATAAGTATTTCATTTTATCTAACAAATTTGTTTTTAAGTATTTCAAGTTAGTTTCCACCTATTAATTACACTTTCAACATCTCGGTACATTTGTGGAATTTAGTGGGATAAGTTTAATCCTATTTTAAAATAAATTCACCAGAAGAACTGTATATAACTGTATATATCAAGAGAACTAAGTCAAAAACAGAAAATAAAAAGAAAACTACATTACAAAAGAGGTAAAATATACCATAGCAAAAGATAAAGTAGAATATAAGGAACTACAAGCCATATAGAAGTGAGGATACAGTCTATGATGTTAAAACTTCTTTTCACAAACCTCTCATGAGAAATAAAATTAAAGAGTTAAAAAGAATTAAGAGCAGATAAAGCTACTCAAGCCCACAACGCCCAACATCTAAAGGCATCATACACCATACACTGTTAACTCTATCAGCCCTGGCTTGGTCCCTGGGACCGACCTCGTAACC